CACCTCAGCCCACCGCAGATGGAGAGCGCACCGCACATTGATGAGTAATTTCTACTTAATTATTTTAAGTTTACCCTGCAATACTTGAGTACATTTCACTCAGTCACAGCTTGTAAACTTTACTCAAACAACATAGCACTGAAGAAAATAAACATGTCATTAAAGCATGTGGTTCACTTACGAACATGTACGTAAGCAAGTAGACAGCTCCTTATTCTTTTTAAGGTAATATGTTGACTCAAAGTGAAGTTATTAACCAAATGAACACAGAGACCTCAATACTTGGCACATGATACACAAAGATGGTAACAAACAGTTTTTGAGTATGAATGGGTCATTTTGAGTAGAAAATGAACTCTAGATGTCACAAAACAGCAAGTAACTAAACCTAAAAACAAAAGCAACCATAAAACAGTGTCAATACATCTCAAAAAGAGAAAACAATTTTTTACCTTATTAATTATTCATGCCCAAGTGCATGATGGGAACAACAGGATTATGACTTTGATATTTACTTAAACAATCTTTGTAAAAATAACAAACAATTCCAAGTAAAATATACTTATAACTTCACATTTTAAATTCTACAAGATTAAACTGAGTACTAATAATGAATTTACAGTTTTTTTAAAATTTTTTTATTCTTGCCTGAACTAAATTATTTAATGTACAAATTAAATTTGTTTTTCTGTATTATTTACTTCACCACAAAATCATTTTTATCAGTGTGGTGCCTTTGTTCCACTGACAATTTTTTTCTAAAAACCATTGCTTTAGAGCAGTGGTTTTAAACTCTGTTCCTGAGGCCACATAACACTGCACATTTTGAATGTCTGCTTTGTCTGACACATCCATTTCAGGCCTTGGAGTTTCTAGTAATGTGCTGATGACCTAAATCAGATGTGTTTGATTGAACAGGGTTGAGAACCACTGCTTTGGATTAAGGTTGACAGCCATGAAATCAACCTTATATCGGTTTTATTGCATACCATAATTTTTAATACAGTTTACTTCTAGTTAGATATCTAAAGCATGTCTCACCTCTTGCTCCTTCAGACGTTTAGTGAGGTCTGTGGCAGGATCAGTGCGGTTCAGTGGGGCTCTTAGACTGCTCAGAGTGTCCATCTCAACTTGAGCTAGATCTTTATCCATTTGGTTTAGGCGGCTAGCTAGCTCTGCAGCTTTGGAGTTCTCCTCAGCTCTTGGAGCAGGAACTACAAAAATATGACAATATATATATATATATATATATATATATATATGTACA